ACTTATGTGCTGGAATCTTTGAATTTGACTTGCATATTCAATGTGCAAAGTGGTTGTAGTGATGATTTGTCAAATTTGTGAAGTCTTCATATGAGGTACCATTGTATACTTTAAATGATGCTTCTGATTTTCTAATTTGATCATTTTGTTAGCATAAAAATATTGTGATGTAAATAAATTTTTTGAGCAATGCCGGATGTATCCATGGTTTGTTTTGTTAAATGCTTCTCGTGTGGTGTTGTGCTAGAAGATTGCTGATGTTGGATATGTTTCTTTGTGCTATTTTGGGATTTATGGCATTTTTATGTGCTTAGAACATTTGGAAAGTGTTGCAATAATTGATGTTTGAGTTAACCCAAATCACAATAGAAATGAAAATATTATTGTTGAAATTCAAATCGATTACAGCAACAGCTTTTCAAACAGAAAATAAACACTAAAAACATAAGACAAGATCCTAGGGCAGGGTAAAGGTGATGAACTGGCTGGACAGCAGGTGTTGGGTGGTCGAGAGGTTATGGCTGCACTAGGGAGGCTTCTGGAGGAAGGGAAGCAGCAAGGACTAGGCAGGGGAGGCTGGTGACAGTAAAGGGGGCTGCTGGGAGGGGTTTAGTCACTTGATCTATGAATTGAAATTTGAAGTTTGTAAGGTTACAATCTAATGGAAGGCTGATGTAAGATAGGAAAACAAAGATGAAGGGAAATAATTTACATAAAGCAAGTTTGTTGCTTATATATCGAGTCATCTTGGACGTCTTTTAGTCTCCTGATCTATGAATTGAATTTGAAGTGGAAGGAATGGCACATTCAATAAGATTTTTTTGTTTCAAGTACTAATAGTGTTTTTGTATGCGCCTTAGTCCCCAATTTATAATTGTGAATCCAAGAAGGGAATTACCTATAATTTAGCTTTTACGGAAAATATGTTGCTAGGAAAGTGCTATTCAAAAATAGAAAAGCCTTGAAAAGTAGGTCCAAGTATGCAACCATATTAAGAAGCTTTATTATAGAATTGCTAACGACCTATGAAAATCACAATCAATTGTAGATCCATAAGCTGTAGTACAAATATAAAGTTACAGGAGGGCAATAATAAAAAGTTGTAGGAGTCAAACTCAGTAATTGAATAATCCACCAAATAGGAAACAAAAGGATGACTTGGTTGCATCGCAAGCAAGAGTTAGCAAAAATTTAAACATTTGGCCTCAATAGAGATTGCAAGTCCCCATCAATTCTACTTGGCTTATTAAAAATTTAATCCAATGAAATATTTAGTTGATATTCTTCCAATAGATTTTGGAGTGACTGAGGTTTTGATGGTAGAATTATCTATGAATCATAATATATTTATGTAGTTTCCATTTTTTTTCGTTTTGCTAAGATTTGAACCTTTGCCTGCTACTTCAGAAATCTAAGGCAATACAACTTTGTAATGTAAATATGATTTATAGTAAGCTTATTATGACCATTTGAAAAATAAATATACAATGGATTGAATTTTAATTTTGTGGGAAAAGGAAAGAGAGCGGATTCACTACATTGGCTGATGGCTCGTCATATTAATGAAATTGTGTATACTAAAAATGGACTGTAACATTTTCTTATATATTTTCAACTTTTATATGGTAGCCTTTCCTATTTGTTGCTTGGCTTCTCTTTTTTTTAGTTAAATTTTTTAGGTTTAGAAGTAACCTCTCAAGATTTAGGACTTATTTTTTTGCTATTTGAATTTCAAATTATTCAAATCTACAATAGATTTGTAATTGTCATACTTAAAAAGAAGTTTTCTGCTAATATTTTTTTTTTTATGAATCATACATATGACCAATAATGCAATAGGATATGATACATGTAAGTTTAATGGCAAAATATACATGCTTTCTACCGTATGTACTCCAATTAATTCAAAGAGAAAATGATGAAATTTTAAAATTATAATTTTAAATTCAATCAAGTTTTTTCTGAAAACTAAAAAATCACATAGGTATCATTCATCTATCATACTAACAAACAACCTCCATATAAAAAATAATCCAATGATTTAAAGTTTAATAGTAATGAATTATGCATATTTTGATGTGACTGGACGAATAGAATTTTAATTTCACAAACTGTTTGTAAATTCAAATGATATCTTGATGTAATTTGATTTTCATAATACCATTATTTTTATAAATTTGTAAATAAAGAAACTATGAACTAAAAATAAAATTGATTTTAGCGTGATACATAGAATTAGAGTTATTTTCATGGGGCTATAAGTTATATTATTAGATTTTTCAATGGATTTATTTAGTGTGTACAAATTCTTTAATTTAAATTTTGAAATACATTCAAATTAGGTTTTGTGGGCGATAAGACTTTGGTTCATATTCTACTCTAGGTTCTGGTGCAAATTCGATCTAAAATTTTGTAACAGTAATTTTTTTCTTTTGCGTCTGAGTCATCTATTTAGAAGTAATTATGTGCTATAAATTTTTAATAAAATCAAATTTGATCTTTTGGCTGTATTGCGTGGTACATAGGCAGTAAGTGAGGCGTCAAAGTGTTCTCTCTTAGAAATATTGATCAAAGGTCCAGTGGTCCTAGCTAGGGGATAATCATAATTTTTTCTCAAAATTTAAAGATATATAGCAAGCCTAATGTATGGATTTTAAGCGATAAATTTTTAATTTATGATTAATTTATTATTTATGACTTTAATGAAACATGTTAATGACAATAATATGTTTAGGCAAATAATGTTCAGCTTAGAAAACTTTCAAACTCATGAAAATATTCAAGAAATTGTAGTTGCCTTGTTAATGTTCTTAACTTGATCATTTTGTTGAACACTAACACTCACGAGTCTTTATAGTCAATGAATGATACACATTAGTCTTTAAGTCCATGTTTCAGATTAACTCAAATAAATTTTGTTTTGCTAGCACCACTCACAAACATATTGAAGGAATTTTTTTCTATTTTGTTTTCACAAATGCAGTTGTGTGGGAACTATTTTTGCTCGATGCACTGAATCACATACATCGTTCAATATATCATTAGAAAATTTGACTGAATGTTATTATTGCATTTTTCTGTCAGAAATTAACTATTTTTTGTATTGATGCTTGACATGTTAATTTTAATATGGAGCTCAAACTAGATAGAATCTATGATATATGATAAATTCTTATTCCAGCATACTGGAGACCAATCAAGCTGAGAGAGATTACGTTCATGAGATTACTCCATAAATCCAGGAACAAATAAAGTTAAGGAAAACAAAGCTAAGGTTAATAAGTGAAATGTATAGTGTATTGCAGTAATGAAGAAACTGAAAGTAAGATGATGATAGAGTAATCTAGAGCCAATTACATGATACCGAGTTAGTAGGAGTCCTTGGGTAGATTACACACTGTGTGTCAGAGGGGAAGATTTTACTTAGAATTTTCTCTTTTATACATGGATTTATGTTTTACAAGCTCAAATTTTTGTAGTGGCAAGATCAGAGACATCCTTCAGAGATAGCTCAGTCGGCCCCGTCTGTATTCTATGGTCTTATGTCCACTGCCATTAGATTTTTTTATTTTATATCATAGAAGCCATTGATCAAGCCATATGACTGATGTAATTTGTAAATTTTAATAACGTTGGCTTGCTTGGTTTGATATGCCATTTAAATAAGAAAAAAAGTAAGAAATGCAAGAGAATATGTACCAATTCCTCGGTCCTGCAAAGGGGACTTCACAACAACATGCATGGCTGTGACACCAGAGAGATCACATATTGCGCTTCTGCACTCTGCCAGCGTTTTGTTGTCCTCTAATATCTTTCCAAAGTTTATCAACTCAAAGATCATTTATCGTCTTTGGGCCATTCTCCAACTCTGTTAGAAGCATGTGGGTTATATATCTACAACTAGTTGGGAGAAATAAAATCAGTGTATTATCATTCGATGCAGAAGAAATATGAACATTTGCTATTTATTCTGCATCGAATAATAATACCAAGCTGATTTTACTTCTCCCAAATAGTCATAGATATATCACCAACATTTGTTTTTTATTCTCTTCCAACTGCTTTTAACAGAGTTGGAGAATGGCCCAAAGTCGATAAATGATTTTAAGTTGATAAACGCCTGAAAGTTAGGGAAAGATATCAGAGAACAACAAAACACTGGCAGAGTGCAGAAGCGCAATATATGTTCTCTCTGGTGTTACAACCATGCATGTTGTTGTGAAGTTCCCTTAGCAGGACTGAGGAATTGGCACATATTCTCTTCCATTTTCTACTTTTTTTTTTCTTTTTTCAATGGTAAATTGGACCAGGGAAGCCAGGTTTATTAAAATTTTCAATGAAGAGGATTCATGTAGCTGACCCCACTTAGTGGGATAAAGGTTCTTGTTGTTGTTGTTATAGAAGCTACATTGAAAATTCTCTTTTTTTCGGAGCAGCTCTCATAAAATTGTACAATACTGTGGCATCAAATCTTTTGTGCTGTTTATTATGCATGCTGTTCTTATGGGTTAGGCATATCGACGTTCGCTAAGCACCGCTATGAACTACTTAACCCCCTTTCTTTCACTAGATAGGAAGGTAGCATATTAAGTTTTATTATAACTTATGGTAAAAGAGCTGCTGAAAAGTACTGAAGTGCTGATTAGAAATTTTCCGTTAATTATGATTAAAATACTACACTGTTGATCGAATTGTTTGTATTGGATTAATATAGAAAAAGAAATGATCTGGGGTCTTGGAAATTTCATGCATGTTCAACAAATCTATGTGTTATGTTTGCAATAACTCTTTCTTTTATGATAGTTACTCTTTATTCTACATTCCACTAAAAGATTCAGAAAGCTTTGCTACTTTCTTCCATATGAACTGAAAAAATAAAAGAATTGTGGAAATTTCTTCTGCATCGAATGATAATATCAAGCTGATTTTACTTCTCCCAAATAGTTGTAGATATATCACCAACATTTGTTATATAATTTTCTTCCAACCGCTTCTGACAGAGTTGGAGAATGGCCCGAAGACAATAAACGATCTTAAGTTGATAAACGCCGGAAAGATATTAGAGAACAACAAAACACTGGCCGAGTGCAGAAGCGCAATATGTGATCTCACTGGTGTCACAACCATGCATGTTGTTGTGAAGCCCCCTTCGCAGGACCGAGGAATTGGTACATATTTTCTTTCATTCTCTACTCTTTTTTTTTGGGTCAATAGCAAATCGGGTCGAGCAAGCCAATTTTATTAAAATCTACAAATTACATGAGTCATTTGTCTTGATAGCCATACAGCATCCATTAAATTTAGAAGAAAGCTTCAAATGCATACCATTCAATTCCCATATATGTATATTATCGAACACCTAAACATCAAATTTTATATACATGCTACCTTACCGATGTATGAAAAGATAGATTTTACTTTTTAAAAGTTAAAATGGTGCTATTTTTTATGCGATATGAAATGTTTGGATGGTATACAAGTACAAATATGTAAATACTTAAGAATTGTGTGCTATGCGTGCAGATTTTCCTTTTTTTATACCATTTCCCTAAAAAAAATTCCTGATTGTTGAATAATATATTGACATTTTTGATACTTTTTTTCGCTCAACAGAAAAAGATGATGGGAACAATTCCAAAGGAAACAGATGTCGATGTACTATTTTATGATTCTCTGAACAAAATGAAACTTTTGCATTAGTTATTCATTTATTTTTCCTGTGTCATTTTGTTGTGCCATGGATACTGTTTCCTGCTGCATTTTGTTGCATGTTGCTTACAGTGCTAAGTACAGTGTCAGACCTGCTATTTTACTCTTGCAATGCAAGTTTTCTTTGGGGATTTAGAATAATTCAGAGTGGTTTTTGGGTTCTGCAAATATTTTGGAGTTCTGTTTCAGTGCAGCTGTTTCATATTCTGCTCATAATGTGTTGATGCATTTTTATTTTGTTTTTTTTTAATTGTTATTATTAATTTGTCAACTGAGTTTGATATATTTGTAATTTTAGAAATTAGAAATGTACCCTTCACTTTATCAATTGTCCAAATTAATTTCAACCATACCCATTTCTCTGTCATCCATCATGCTTAAATATTAATATTAGAGTTCGAAATTAAATTAATAATTTATTAAAAATAAAATTCTAATTTTTCTTCTATATAAGGTCAAAGTTTTGCACCCCACCTGCAATGTACATTCTTTCCACAGCTTCAATAAAAGCTATTGTAAATGGGTTGACAAATTGGGCTGACTTTGATTTATTTACATTTATATGCTGCTTTCGATTTAACGGCTATTTGATTGAAAGCAATGGTAGAGCAACAAATTTAAATGTGCATAATCACTAGATATTTCGATAATAAACATTTTATATTTTGTGTAATTATATAAAATTTGAGGTTCCAAGTAATATAAATGTATGAGGCGTTTAAATACGGACCAGCTATGGCTCTCAAAAAAGTTTGTTGTTTGAAAGCAGCTCGTGTTTGACTCGTTAAATTATAGTCGATGCTGGAATTGTTTGTTAAGTAAACGCGTCAAACATGAAAAGTAATTTTAAGCTCTAATTGTAAACAAGCTAAACACGAACAACCCTTTGATTGTGTTTGGCTTGTTTCAGCTCGAAATAGGAATATTATATATATTATATATATTATTTATGTTATAATATATTATTTATATTTATATCTAGGTTTAAATTATCATAATTTGTGTGGCTCTGTTTTTTTCTGTATAAAAATGGTGCTTGATTGAATACAACATCCTACATATATTTTTCTAATTAATTTAAATTAACAAATTTTAAGTTGAATGCGAACACATTGCTCATGAGCAATTTCAAACATGAGCCAATTCGAACAAGATTCATTTCGAATGAGCTGAACAAGAATCAAATCTGAGCTTGTTCAAACTCAACTCATTTATAACCATAGTACTATCCAATTCTTATGTATTTACAAGTCTAGCACTTGAATTTACTTTTTTGCATTTAGACTATCAAAATATTCCATATCACATAAAAAAATTATTATCTTAACTTTAAAATAAGTGAGATACATCTTTTCAAGTACTAGTAAGAAAAGAAATGTGTGAAAATTGCAGTTTTTTGTGTTGGATATGTAAAGTTATAAGAATTGATTGGTATGTATGTAACATGTAAATAAAAAAATTTGCATGAATTAGTTTTGTAATTGTATGGTATTGTTGAGTTTTAGATTGTCTTGTGAATCACACACAAGAAATAAAGTGTAAGACAGAAGAAAGAAAAATAGATAGAGACGAGTGCACTATGAATAATAAAAACGAGAAAATTGTGTAATTTTTTATTCATGAAATGACCTATTATTTATAGATTAGGGGGTTCAAGAGTTGAAGTTATAATTATACCCGTACTTAGATGGGATTTGTACGGGATATTTTAGAGATTGTATTTTTGTGGGCTCAGGGTCTGTCTTGGGCTTGGTTGACTGGGTCAATGAAGTGAAGCGACTCGTGCTACAGGTCGACCAGATGGATAGGGACTATCTACCGGTTGGATCTTCAAGCAAGGCTGATCGGTTGAGCTGCTGGAGACGATCGGGGAGAATGATACAATCAGTTGATTCCCGTCGGTCTGATATATTGATCCGTCCAACCCTAATTTCTGCTTGGAGAGCTCTTGCCAGCTAGGTGAAACTAGGTTATTGGGCAGAGGGTGAGTCACAATAACTCGACGGATATCCTTTAGGCGAGGAGATCCAGCTGAGGGTGGTTGAAGCGCGTGACTTCATGATGTCTCAACGGAGCCCTTGGTTGCCTTTGACATCAAAAGGAGCCGTTTAGGCTTCGTTGAACCGATTCAGACTGTTCTTTGGCTTGGATAAGCCAATTGATTTTTCAGACCATTGGATAGCTTTCTAGTGCGTCTAGCTTTACCGTGTCATTCTTTCTTGGGTCGTCAGATTGCTTCAAGTTTCATGCAAACACATTTTCTATGCACAGGTGTAAGCTTTTCTTTATTTATTGTGGGGCATTTGTCATAAAAGAATTGGCGCATTATAGCAAAGGGAACTTGAGCCCTCCTCCAACACGCTGCAGCTTCGCGCACATTTGGTTAGAATATAATTAATGGATGATTGAATTTATCATCGATAAATGTATTTCTTTTTCTTTTTTCATTAACAGTTCCCTATCAACTTGATTAAAACCTGAGAAATGTTGTTTGGTCAATATTGCAACTTGCACAAAACATACACAATCCTTCAAGCCAAAATCTGTGAAGCAAATCTCAATAAAAAAATGCGCACAAGCCCAACTAAAGCTCATAATGCCATTATTTACACAATCCCAAAGCCTTATTCCATACAAGTTAAAGCAATTTTACAGTTTTATTTTGTAGAAATACTGCCAAACATTTCAACACCACACAACCAAAGGGCGCAACTAAACTTCTGAAAACTCATACTATCTGTGCTGCTCTGTTCTCCTGAAGTGAGATCACGGTCTCAAAAGCTCCCACCAAAGCTTTCACCTTGCTCTTCCTCGTCTCCACAAGCTTGCTTGCAGTTTCTTCAATCACATGATTGAAGAGAGCTTGAATATCTTTCTTCTCCTGCGCATCTTGGTGCTTCAACATCACAGCTCCAGCTTCTGATGAATTAGCATGAGTTACTACTGAACCAGGAGCTTTCATTTCACCCTTGTCTCTCCTTCTAAGGATTCTCTTCATAACTTCGCCATTAGAGTTCTCATCAAGCACTCTTCCCCTCCTGAATCTGAGCCTTCTGGGACCTACGTTCTCTGTTGGCCTAATATCGATAACTCTCCCTCTCTTAAACTTCATCTTGTAAGGCAAGGAAGAACCATTATCTGGTTGAACATATGGAGTTCTTCTTAGTCTTCTCTTATCTTGTTGCTCTGAAAGTTCACAGCTTTGCTTTCTATTCGCATCCTCGAATTCTGATAGTTCACTGACACAAGGCTCCGATGCACATCCGTCACCTTCCTTGATGAAGATCTCACCATTGACATCCATGATTTCATTCTCACATTTCTCTTCAATGATTTTCTGAAGGTTCACATTGAAGTCAACACCACCATCATGTTTTTTGTATCTTATGTTTGTCGCATTCTCTATATTTTTAAATTTTCTGTCCCCAACTCTGTGTATTTTGAAGCTCTTGCTGAGTTTAATGTCTAAATCTCTTGAGCCTTCCAGGTTCCTAGTGGCATTCAATTGAGCTGCAGATCTCACCAATGGCACCCTGCCTTTCAAAGAAATTGCAGGTTTTGCACAACTATCAATCTTTTTAGAAGAAACAGAAACATTTTTTTTCTCACTCTGTAATTCAGAAGATCCAGAAAGGTTCCTTACAGCCATCTTCTTTTCACTCTTCACTCTCAGTGCAGAAGATGTAATAGTTTCCTTCATATATGATGGGCCACTGCCGGAACTAATTGCAGTAGAGGCCTTCAGTTTGTTTTGTCTGGATGGGGAGGGCTCCATTACAAGCGAAGCATTTGGTTGCACAGTTTGCTTCTTCTTCTTCTTCTTCTTCTTCTTCTTCTTGTTTGAATTCAAACTTCTCATCTGAACAGAATCCTGAGGAATTGTTTTCGTTGGAGATTCGATGCTATTTGCTTTATCGGAAGCCTTCATCTTCAACCCTGAGCTCTTCCTCCTCTCACCAATACTCAGATCACTCACATGATTCTGCAAGGCATCCGCGGCAATGTTATTTGCCATAAACCTTCTGAAAACAGTATGCTTTACTTCATCGTTGACCACGTGTTTATGACCGTATTTGCAAAAATCATGACAAGAACTCCTCGGCGCTTTCAGATATCGAGACTGGACCTTGTGATAAGCATTAGAAAGAAACATTGGACCCCTAGACTTCTTCTCTAATCCTTCTTTTGGTTTGATACCATTCTCTATTGAATCTTTCTCCATGAAGCGAAAAAAGAAGTAGAGCTTCCCTGGTGAAGGCTGCAAATAGTCAAGTTTAAAGGGGAAAAAAATGAAAAAAATCACATTTCAGAGACTAAGCGCACTACTTAACCACATAAAAAACCAAATTTGACAATATGTTGATTGGGCTTACTTGTATGATTGTGGTTGTAACAATGGGTTCAAGGCTTAGACTCCTTCAAACTGTGGATAAAAAAGAAAGAAAAATATAAAGACTGATCAAAAAAGAAGAAATTAAGTGAAAAAAAAAAAAGTATTAGAGCTACGAAGGCATTGTATTTTGTGGCATCAACATACATATCACCCGATTCTTCCGTATTTACATATCTAACATGTAAATTTTACCTTTTACATTTCTAACACTTAAATCTTTCACATCACATTAAAAATACCACCATTTTAACTTTAAACAAGTGAAACATAATTTGTCATTGACTCATGCATAGGTAAGTATGTCAAAATTGAAGTTTAGGTGTTAGATATATAAATACATAGGAATTGAGTGGATGTATGTAAATCTCACTTGAATTTTAATAAAATGGAAAGCCAAAGCAGCCCAAGAAGACAACAAAATTTAAAATAAATGCCAAATATTTCACCAAGATTTAATAAGATTTAATATATATCATGACAAATAGTTTTCATAATGCCGCCGGATTTATTTGATCTGGATTGCATTAGTACTTGAATTAAATTGCAGAAGTAGCTTAACAGCCCCCATAGAGTTGCTCAAGGTAAAATTACAAGGAAAAGAACAACAAACAAAGTGAGGGGAAGAAACCTGCAAACTTCAGATTACAGCTAACTAAAAACTCAATATTAATATATCTTCATGATCCGAACAATGGAAAGTCAAAAAGGCTTAATAATCAAAGAAATTGAAAGCATTAAAAGTGAAATTAACTTTCAAAGGATGATTCGCAGGAACATCAAGAAGAAAAAGAAGAGCCAAACGAAGTCAAGCAGAGGAGCAAGTTCTCAGTTTGCAGACAGGAAGAAGGAGAAGACCTCCATGGCGAGAAATGAAGAACAAAATTCCTACAAAGAGAAACCGTTTCGATTTCAAATACCAATCAAAACTGTAAACAGAAACCATTCCTCATCAAAATACCTCAGATTTCAGAAAAAAATGAGAATCAGTATAGAATCCCTAATCAGTTCCAAACAGGAACAAAAGATCGTCTCAAAATCCTAAAAACATCATCAAACGGAACCCTAAAAACTCCAAAAATCCAATAAAGATCGAACCTTTCCTTCACTCGCCATGTCGAGATCCTCCAGAAAGCGCCCAGCCTGCATTAAAAAAATAGCGATGAAAAGAAACCCCAAGAACAAGAAAAAGTGTTTCAAAGCGATGCCTTTAGGGCCATTCCCTTAACGAGGAAGTGAAGAATGTTGGAAAAGGAAACTCAATTAATAACCCCAAGCCTGGTTCCAAGACCTCTACATCTCTCTTTAACAGAACGTGCAAGCAACTAATGTAGGTAAGCCGCCAAAGGTGTCTCTTTTATCTTCGTGATAGCCGAGTTAGTTGCAGAGGAGAAACTGAAGCAAGCGAAAAGGGTGATTGAAGGCAAGAAGGGGAAGGGAACTCTCACCGGAATTATAGAATAATGGCTTCCATGATTGCCGTTTATGTGGAGGTTTTGGGCCCTAACCTCAACGTTACAAAAAGGGTTTAAATCTGGTTCTTTTATTTTTAGATCTGTAGGTTGGAAGTTGAGGGTGGGTTAAGCAGACTCTGGTAGAGATTTGCTTCTCTGAGAAAGGTTTCTACTTTGAGTTAATCCTTAAATATGAAGTAAATTAGTAATTGCAGTATTGGGATTTTGAGGAATGACTAATAAATGTGCATTAATACAACTGGTTGTAAGGGTTTATCATCCATAGTCTCTATATAATCACTGATTAATTCCTGATTTATAAAGAAACATTCATGTCGATCAGAAATAGATAGGGGGCTCTAACAATTTGTTAAGAAAAATCGAAACTTTTTATGCAGAAAATCAAAACCCCAACGGTAAAATCAACATATGATTTTCATATGAAGAAGTTCTACTATGAACAAAATGTAAGTATAGACTTTATTTTCTTAATTGGAGGATGAGGGACGTAGTACAGTTGGGCAATAAAATAGGCAGTTCTGAAAGTTATTATTGGATTATGACACTTTGAGATGTAGATGTTGATAAAATAATGAAATAAAATTAGTTTAATCAACTAACATGGACTATAAATATATAGATTTAAGTGTTTGACTAATGCTACTCTCCAAATAACAAAAAATTACTCCATACGGACACTGCATGCAGAAATGCATGTGGTATTCGATCTCCACCGTTGATCGCCGCAAATATGTATTTTAGTATGCCCCACTTTCAACATTTTTTTTTTCAATTTGATTGCGGTGATCAACGGTGGAGATCGAACACCGCATGTATCTCTACATGCGATGCATGTGGTGTCCGTATGGAATAATTTCTCCCAAATAATATCTTTTTTTTTTCCGGTTTTATAAATTTTGGTGCATTAGTAATATAAATGTTTACTTAATACTAGATGATATATTAATAATAATAATAATTATTATTATTATTATTATTATCTTGGATTCTTTTCACAAGGACTTTGCTCGTGTTTAGGGGGAAATAAGAATCCTATCCTACTTATTTGTCCGGATATAAATTGGTTGAGAGTAATAATAAATTAAATCAACATTCCCTTTTATTATTTCTTAGGAGTTATATCCACCAAGGAAATAATTAAGAAAAAAAGTCAAATTATTATGAATAATGATGTGGGTGGGCCCCAATTCTTACGGAATGTAGCGTTCTAAATTCTAATTTCTAGTATTCTAACATTGTCTTGAGTGGCCATTCAACAACTATACTTCATTCCCCTTCCCTTCATATGAATCAGTAAAACTAGATCTACCAACTATATATATATACACACGACGCGTACTCAGATGAGTTGATCGGGCATCTGCTTGTCAGTTGTATGTCCATTCTGGTATAGGGTTCGATCCCCCCCGAGTGTAAGGTGTGGTACTCAAATTCTTAGGCGCATGAGGGATGCCCGAGACTCGTATAATAGCCTTCAACCATTCCTTTCAATATATATATATATGAATTCTGATTTGTTCGTGACACACCCAAAAAATAAAACGTAAGAAGAGACAAGGAGAGAGAGAGGAGTGAACATTAATGAAGAGTAATATGTTATGTCAATCGAGTCTTATTCATAAAATGGCATCCATATTTTTGGGAGACATGATACAATGTGGTGATGTTTAATTTTTACTCCTACTTGAAAGAGGGTCTTGTGAGGAATTTCTCATATTTCACATTAATGAGCTTATTGTCTGACTGATTGCTGGGTCGATCGGCTAAGCTTAATTAGCTTTGGTTCGACAAGATCAACTCGGACAGCTGAGATCTGCTCTGTTGATTGAGTGTGCTCAATATAGGTCGACCCATTATTATGTCTTGGTTGTAGTTCATTGACCCATAATGAGGTGCGTTTCTGTTTCTCTGGGATGGTTGAAGATGCTAGGGGAGGACCATATATTCCTTGGATTAGCTCGCTTGTGACTATTGTCTCGGATATTCTTTTGTCATGTTTCTATTTGAACGGCTCGTTCTTGTATCATTCGGTCGTCTTTGGTTTGGTTTGTTTTGTGGTTTGGTTGGCTTTGCCTCACTAACTTTGGCACAGACAGCTTCACTTGGTCAGACTAGTGAGGTCTCATGGTCTTCTGTCAGTGGACCCTCATTCTTCATGTTCTTTTCTTCTAGAACATTAAATCTACTTATAATTAGTGTTGGTGCACTTTTGATGTATATATATAACCATATAATTATAAATTAGATAAAAATTATTGTACCACTTACTATGAATATTTTGGTAGCAAACATTTGATTTAATAGATAATCCATTAGAATCATACACATTTCAGAAAAAATGTTATCATTAGATATACTTGTCATAAAATTTTTATTGATTTTTTTTGTTGAATGATTAAAAGAGCTCAAAATATTGAGAAGTTTTTTATTTCATCAAGTACAATTAATCTAAGATAAAATCTCACTTGTCACTCAATCTATATGAGATAACAAATCTCAACAAATTTTTTTTCATGCCTCCTTGCAAATGGCATGTACTATCTCTAATATGCATTCAAAAACCTCCATAAAGCATTATGTTTTTTTATGACTTTTGTAATGACATAATGAATCTAATGATTGATATTTTATCAAAAAAAATTATATGATCATACATGAAACTTAATGCATATTAGATAAGATAACTTACAAATTAAAAGTATATATCATCCAGACTATGATTTCAATAACTTTTTTAGCCAAACTGGATAGCAAAGCAATATGAATCCAATGATACTAAAGTGATTCGATTTGATCTCGAGTGAATTCAAATCTAGCACATGAAGTGTGATTGAATGCTTTAAAACATTAATTTAACATCAGATGATATCCAAATTTGGCATGCTTGCAATTAAATTTAGCGCCTCGATGAGTGAAAATCAAACAGGCTTAAGATCAGAGGTCATTAAGACACTTAAACACTAAAAAAATGATCTATAATCAATGGAATTAATTTTTATAAATCAATCCAAGCTCTGTAACCAATCTTATTTACTTAAAGAGAATAGTGAAGCTCTGTACTTCAGAAATATATCAAGGGATACTTTCATTGAGCTTATGCAATTTTATATCTACATCCAAACTTTGTTTTTTACACTTTAATCATTCAACTCTTTCATATCACATCAATAATATTACAATTCCAACTTTTAAAAAATTAAATATATTTTTGCGTGCATAAATAGGATGGTATTTATATAAAATTTACAGTAAGATATTAGATATGCCAAACAATCTATCGAAATATAATAAAGCCCCTCAATATTCATAAAACTTAGATTTACAGGAATTACTAAATCCAAATTGAGAGAGAGAGAGAGAGAGAGAGAGAGAGAGAGAGAGAGAGGGGGGGAGGGAACAAAAGCTTTATTAATGTTTCTTCAAAAACCCCTCTGCAAGCTTCAGATAATCCCCAAATCCACCATCCGAAACTCCTCCTCCGCCATGAACAGAGTGGCCAGCTGAAGAAGAATGGGCAGTGGAAGAAGTAATCTGCGAAGTAGAAGAGGAATGGGAATAGTGGTACTGGTGGAGATAGCTCTCTGCCTTTTGCACATACTTTCCATAGCTCTTCTCTTCAATCTTTCCATAGTGAGAAGCAGCATTCAGAAGATCCTCAGCAGCCTCAGCCAGCTTCGCCTTGTCTAACTCTGCGGATTCATGGCGGAGAGCTGATTTGGCGGCGTTCGCCACCACCTTGGCGCTGGAAAGGAGCTGGGCAGGTGAAGGCTGTGGGTGGAAGGAAGTATTTGTGTTATCTGGATGAGAATCCATGAAGAAGAAGGATGGAAGCCTTGGTTTTCTAAATAAAAATTTGATTTTTAAGATCTGAAGTATATGAAGATGTGATTTTTAAGATGCCGAGAAGGGTTTACACGGTTTTAGAGCGAGGATCACGCGTTAGCTTTTTGTTGGCTGGTTGTTTTCTACTTCTTTCTCTGTAATTGACTTTGAAATGTGGATGGCAAGAAACGTGTGGCGCAGCTGGCTCTGTTTTTTCCTAGCCACAAGCTCCTGGAAACTCACAAGTGTTTTAGAAAATATTTTAAAAAGCTATTCTGAAAATTATAAGCTTTCTTAAACCCCTATATTTTAGAGAAATTATTGCATACGGACACTGCATGCATCTCTATATGCAGTGTCTGATTCTGTTCAGGATATATTTCAATTTTTTTTTTTAAAAAAGAATTAAGTGAGACCCACCAAAATACATTCTGACCGTAGATCACCTGATTTACGGTCAGAATGCTGTCCGTCCGTATGAAATAATTTTTTGGAATTTTAACATTCATGATACAAATTTATAAAAAATAGCAAAAAAATAGTTCCCCAAATGAGCTATAGTGACGGTCATGATTAAAACAAGAAGATCATTTGAATTCTAATTAATATGAAACAATTTTAAATGAAAGATCAAACAAAGCACAAATAGATACATTGTGTAAAGCTCTTACAATCATTACAACATTTGAACACATACAAGTCACAATTATTAGGATAGCAAAGTATTTGCAACCTTGAGATAATTGTAGCCCTTTAGATAATTACAATCACATGTGCATTTTCAATTTATGATTGTTGAGGCTCGGATCATCAATCAGGAAAAAGTGGCCCAAGTTCAATGATCTAACAAAAAGCTCTACTTTGCATTAATTTTAGAAACACATTTATTAAATATTACTTTCTACAAAATTCAATAATGTCAAATAATGTGTCTCGATATTCAATATTAGGAAAAAATATAGAATCAAGGTCTGTCACATGTACAGGCAGACCCATCTTAGTTTAAAAAAAAAATTTAATTTAATACATGGGTAGGTTTGTTTGTACGTTTGACAGGCTCTGATTGAAGTCTTAATGCAAAACTACATCTGGACTCCTGATGCAATATTTTTTCCAATATTAGACATTATGAGATCATTAGCCTCTAGTTTTTAACATTCATCTACTCCGCCCAACTCGATATTCAAGATGAGCAGTGCAATGCTTATTGTCCAGTCCGTGTACATTAAATATGTGCATTTTATAATAAAATGACATAAATAGTTAATTTTGAAAAAATAATGAAAATAAATAATACTAAAATAAATTATATTTTAATCATATGGGAATATTGATTGAGCAATATTCATTAAATCTCACTTAGTATCAAATCTTATTCAGTTTGATCTGCATTCATACATGATTCCAATCTCGATCAAAGTTTGTTCAAACCATGTTCTAACCTTCTTCAAACTTTATGCAAACCTTGTCCGAAATACAAACTAAATTCAAACAAAATGCAAATGCAATTTGTCCAATGGGAATAAGGTTCAAAAAGATTCAGTTAACATTCGAATGAAATTCAACCAATATTCAAAGGAGCAATTATGCTGTGTAATAACATTTTGAGTTTATGTTTTTCCTTGTATGTTTTTAATAAAAACTTATTCTTTTTAATTTATTTGAGCTTATTTCGAGTCCAAGATCAGTTGATTACGAGCAAAATTTAATTTAATTCGAACCAATGAAGAGCATACTGTTTACAAATATTTTCAAACACGAGTTAAATTTGAGCAAATTCATTTTTCAATGATCCCAACACAAAAAGTCGAAAGTTGATGAGCTTGCTCAAGTTTGGCTCATTTAAAAGAAAAAATATTTTGTCTGACATTCGCCTGTCTCCCCCCCCCCCCCCCCCCCCCCCCCCGCCACTGGCGTGTATGGTGTCGTGGCTGCCAGCGGTTGACCGTGCGAACGAAATATTTTCTCCATTGAAAGCCCTACACAATAGTTGAGTGATATGTTCGTAAATCATATTTGAATTTTACTCTCTCTCTCTCTCTCTCATTCATGTGGAAAGGGTAATTTATTCACTAATTAGTTGGGGCGTTTACCTACATACCAACAAATTTTTTTTACTTACCTATTCATCCCTTAAACTTTGCTTTTTTTTATATTTATACCATGCAATATTTCATATTATATAAAAATACCACTATTTTAATTTTGAAATACATATTTTCATGCATGATTCAGGTGACATACATGTAAAAGTAAAATTTAAATGTTAGATACATAAATTCCTAAGAATTGAGTGGTATGTACGTAAATCTTCTTAGAAGGAATAGTTAATCTTTGATAAATTGTCTTGCTCATATAGGAGTTAATATTAGCTTCCTCCATTGAAAGCTCTGTTGTAGGTTATATGGAAACTTGTGATGAATAGACGCACCATTAAATTGGGGGTTACATGTTCATATCATTATTATTAGGAAGATTTATATATATATACCACTCAATTCTTATGTATTTACATATCTGACCCCCGACCTTTAATTTTTACATATATCTCACCTTAGCCATGCATTGGAATACTTCTAACGTTTTAGAAATTAAAATAGTGGTAATTTCTGTGTGATATGAAAGATTGGAGTGGTATAAATGTAAAAAAAGCAAAGTTTAGGCGTAAGATATGTAAATAAGAGTGATAGACGGGTGGCAGATTGTAGTTAGTCAACCGTATAAGAGTGATTGACGGGCGACATAACCATTAGAAAACATGAAACAAGCAACACTGGGCTTGGCATATAGCTTGAAGAGGTCCATCGTATATGTCAGAACAACATGAGGTTGTTTGTTGGAGTTTTACTCGATAACATTGGTCTGTCTGGAAGAGGTAGAATAAAATTCACTTATATATAATATTTGATCTATTTGAGATTGTTTGTTGGAGTTTTACTTAATGACTTTAGTCTGCATTGAAAAAGTCAAAGGATATTTGACTCATTTGAAGTTGTTCATCGGAGCATTGCTCTATGACGTTAACTCGTGCGAAAAAAATCTAAGAAAGTATTCCAATAATGTTTGATCTATATGAGGCTATCTGTTCGAGTATTAACCTGCAACATTATTCTAAATGGAAGAGATCAACTAAAATCTACCGTTGATGTTGGAACTATTCAAAATTGTTGATCGAAGTATTAATTGACGATGCTATCCCTTATAGAAGAGGTCGAGTTGAATTCCCATGGGATAAATTGTACCCTAATTTAGAGAGGACGATTGTCACATGGATCCCGAATTAAAGGTAAAGTTTTTTGCTGCCCTTTTGAGGATATGACTACGTCGTCATCCAGGGAGGAAAAATGTAGTCAGGGATTGTATGTAGAGCTTGAATTATTTTAATAGAATTTTATTTATTTATTTATAAAAAAAAGTTGAGAGAGATAATTGCTAATAATATTATATTGGATGTGGAGTATTTCTTTAATTGTGGTTATATTTCAGATGTTGACATCCTTATATGAGCTTATTATCCAAGTGAAAGACAAAAGCACTACCCGACCATAATCGTGTCTAAGATGTTGACGTGAATAACCATTTAGATGGTTGCCCCCTCATCGAACTCAATGTTTGGGAGTTTGAAGCCCGTTGGGAATGGGTGTTGGAGTACTATCTTGGATAAGGGTGAAGACCCTCTATGACGTCCCGTTTCAGTTAATTGGGGAAGAGAAAATGAGGAAAGGGGAGGAAGTGACGAGTCAGGCCATCGTCAAAGGAAGGAGAGGAATCGAATAGTCGGAAACTTAGAGGTCACTTAAGTTCTATAAAACAATGCATCGGAGCAAGACAAGGCAAGTCCAAAAGAAGAAGAAAAATGGAGGAAAAAGAAAGAGAAAGGATGAGAGGGGGAAAGGAGGGTGCGACTTACCTCATACAACCATTTTTTTCATGTGAGCAGAAGAGAGGAAGGGACCATGAAATCTACTCACACGACACCTCCTGATGCACTTTCAATCGATTGCAAGGGAGGAGGATGAGGAGCGGTAGCGTGGGAGGCTCAAGCGTAGTAGAGGTGGCTGCGTCGGCGAAGAGCAGACAAGTCGATGTCGAGCCGCGATCGAAGCGCTACATAAATGGACATAAATGGTTATTCAGGGGGTTATATCCCTGTAACCTTTTGTAAAATAACTGTAATATATAAATGAGTTTCGTGCTTCTGTAATTTCATGGGTACAAATAACTTATACGGATGTTACAAGGGAATTACACAGAGATTACAGGGGGTATAACTCAGATATAACCTCTATGACTCTGAATAACCTCTGACGTATGTACACAAATATTTTCCCGATCGAAGGAATCGAAGAGGACGTTGTAGAAGAGCTCTCCCGTGCGTGCAATTCATCTCTCACGTGCAGGGAAGAAGCTCCCCCGTGCACAATGGATGTAGTCGTGTGCAGAGGAAGGGTTTCACGTGGGTGGAGTAGGGCAAACGGCTTTATAAGGATAAGTTTATTTATTTAAGTTATTTAATAAATAGTATACATATATATTATATATAAGTTTATTATTTAAAGATTAAACTTGGTACTAAAGAAAGGATAGGATTTTAATTGTAAATGTATAAATTAATACTATTTAATATTAATTTTGATTACAATAATTAAAAAAATCTTAATTAAAATAATACAATACAACACAACTAAGCGATAATTGAATATGTGATAATTTGATACAAGTAGTACAAGAGCAAGCAGATCGTCTGTTATCGAAATGTGCACTCGTATTTTTAATCTATGGTAACATCTTGATTCTTCTCCACTATTTTGTAGGTTTTATTTTGATTTACATGTTCTTCGGTTATTGACAATGTTTGTAACTACTTACTATTATGCATTGATGTATGTTATATATAATATATTGAATTGAATGTGATGAGCGCATACATGATATGATTATATTGACTTCTTATACATGCATGATTAACTAAAATATTTGTGCACATAAATGGAAAAGAATATTGATATTGAAATATTTTAAGTAGTATAATTTTTAACGGTGCTCCTATGATGCTTATACAAATATATAATGATATAGACATGTTATTGTTATAGTAAACCTTTATATTGATTTATTAAATATTTAACTGGTATGTTTATTATTATTTTTCTTTATCTTAATGCAGTTTAGGAGTGCGAATATTCACTGGTTTATTTAGCTCACAGTTATCTTAAACTAACTTTTTAAGTTTAATTAGTTGATTAAAAGATAAGCGGTATAAGGGAAAATTTTATAGAAAATAGACAACCAGTAACGATGTGAATTTAAATATATTATTTTAATTTAAGTTGATTAATGGTTCATTCATTTATTAAAAGTTAGTTATATAAAATGAATATGAAAAATTTTAATTCTCACCGTCCAACTGTATGTAACTGCCTTGGTTAATTCCAAGCCGTGTGTTGTGTGTGACACTTTTTAGCTCATCGTGATTTATATTTTGAGAAACATTAATAAGACAGTTGTGCCAAGTTTTTTGGGAGCGTTGAAGGGTTGTGGGCAAGTCTAGTTACATGAGATTAATGAAGGGAATTAGCAATATAAAAGAGGTCGGCGTTTTGTTCTGGCAGGGAGGAATTTCATCATTGAGGGGAGGGGATCCCATACGGGCATTCTCAATTGAGCTATTCTCCATTGATTGTTGATCTCGAGGCATGTATCAGTTGTCAAACCTTATGTAAGAGCATGTATCAGTTGTCAAACCATATTATTGGACCATTCCATACTACACACTCAATCCCCCTAAGATAGACCTGAAACATCCTCCCTGGCAATATAGTGCTTATTGGGGATGCAAAAAGCAAAGTTTTGATGTCCAAGGATATAGAAGGTTGTTCTTTAGAATGGTGAGCATTGGAGCTGGATGCTCCATTATTATTGATATTACAATTGTCGGTCATTTAGCAAATATCATAGATTTTGCGAGGAGTGAGTGATTTCCCACAAACGATGTCAAACTATTGTTATTAGTATATTTGCATCAGTAGAATTCTATATTAATGTCCTAATGATGTGCAAATATTTGACACATGCGGAGATAAAAAGAAAAAAGATACAGAGAGAACAAAATAATATTTTACGTGGAAAACTCAAAATGGTAAAAACCGCAACGTCTGTCTCAGTTAAAATGATTTCATTATGTTGATACAAGTTATAAGATTCGCTGGCTCTTGAATAGCATAAGCAATATGACACAAATGGGATTATCGATGTGACTTCCGCTAGAGGAACGACAAAATACGATAGGGAAGCGGCGACCTAGATGTTGTGTAGTAAAACTGATGGTAGAGGTTGTGCGCCAAAAAATCTGATGTTAGCGTCGTAGTTAATAGTAATGCAGCGGCAGTGGTTTGACAACGACGACGATAGTGGTCGGGCAATGATAGTCCAACATCGCTGATGGTCCAATGGCAGTGACGATGGTGACCGGGCAACAGTAATCCGATAACGATGGCCAGATAGCAGTTGTCTGACAGGGGCGATAATTCGGCGATGATAGCAGCCTGATGGCATTGGTCAAACGGTGGTGAGAACCTAATAACAATGGTTTGCTACAACGACTGTGGTGGTCTAGTTGTGATGTTTTGACAATGACAACCCAATAGCAGTGGTTCGGTGGTGATAATGGTGACGGCTTGGTAGAGGTGGTCCGTCGATAATGATTGTGGTTGGGTAGTTGTAGTTCGACGATGGCGATGGTCTGGTGATGGCGATGGCCAGACAACGGTGGTCCAACAATGGTAAAGCTTTGGACCCTCAAAAGCTTAGAGCTCCTTTAGCTTTCTCCTTCCAGTCAAGATCCCCCTCATGGAAGAAGTGGGGTTATATTTATAAATTTTTTGAACAAAATCCCTCTTAATTATTGCATGAATCCAAATCAATCCATCAGACGACCTAGAGTGATAATTTTGATCGGATGATGTTTTATGGGTATCTAAATACCTTGATGTCAAAATTAAATGATCTTGAACTTGATGAATTCGCCTCAATAGAACGTTTGATTTAACTATAAGCTTGTTAAATTTAGAGATCATTTGCTCGATAAAAACATTACTAAAAAATTCTTATTCTACTTTCAACGCATGATATTGGCTCACTTGGAGTCAAATCAAACAATGTTTGATGTCAGTTGACTCATCTTACCAAAACAGCTCATTTGCATTTGCATTGGAGTATAGTTAATTAAATATGTGAAACTCTTAGCCCCAATGTAAATCAAGATTCGCAAGATTTGTGCATGATTAAGATAATTTTTTAGGATATATATATATATATATATTTAAAAAAGAATGGTCAGAGAGTTTTATACGAGCCTCTAGCCACCCTAATGTGTCCATCTATTCGAGGACTGCCCTCACTGCAGGCAAACTGACCAGAGGTTGAGTTGAACCCATGACCTGAGGAGACTTAAACATTCAAAGAGACTGTTCTGCCAACAGACCACGGCTGGTGGCGCACACACACACACACACATATATATAATTATCACATTCTAATAAATCCAGCAGAGCAAAAAAAACTTATTGGTATAGAAATCTAGGAAATAACAAAAAAATTTAAGGGCAAATATAAAGATTATAAATGTGTTTGAGAAGCAAAACTATAAACAAATTGCCACAAATAGTTTCCCTTATGCTTTTTCAAAAACAATTTTTCTGAAGAATATTATTGTAAAAAAAACATAAATAAGAACATAATTTTGTCAGCCAACCAAATGTTGACTTTGCAAGTCTTTCCTGGGACAAAAAATAATCAAAAAAGCTACCCAAAAACAAATTTTCCTCATTGCTATTTTAAGGAATACCAAATTTTGTGGTAACCACCACCATCCTATTCAAATCTAAGATTCAAAAGGAGGCCATATTTGACTTCTGTTGACTGTAATTTACAATTATTTCAAATGAAAAATCTATGTATAAACAAAATAAGAGAGAATAAAAAGAAAAAGAAAAAGAAACTGCTACCTTTCGTTATGTGGTGAGGAAGGTTTTTTGGGAGAAGAATGAGCAGAGAAGCCTCCTCTGTCTGCTGCTCCATGACTCTGCTCATCTGTTCTGCTTGTTTGATTTACATCAGAAGGCCTCCGATCATCTGGGAGACTTCCACATTGCGCCTGAGAATTGATCCTTCTTCCTTCTGTGACTTTCCTATCAACCCTGACATAAGAGTGATGGCCCCTGTGGTTTCTTCTGCCAGAGAAACGTTGATCTCGAAAGAAAGGTCTCTGAAGATAAAGGAATGGTTAGAATCAAATACCAAAACTAAATTTTAAGAGAAAATGAAATTACATGCCTTTTCTTTGGATGGTGATGAAATTTTGAGTAAAATCTATTGAAAATAAGCATCAAAGAATGCAATCATAAAACCATGAGTTTACGTTATTCGGTGATATTCACCTATGCCTATGGCAGCATAGAAATACAATATTCTAGTAAATATTAAAAGATAATACACATCAAAAATTTATTTTCACACCCAAGTTAAGAATCAAAATCATTTCTTTCTCATTTAAATGAATGGGAGAAAATCCATACACCTTCTGTGAAAATAATGGTTGAATATGAAGAATAAGATGTTACTTGTGCTATTATCTTCGTCTTCCCTTCCCACTTGAGAGCTTCTCCATATACTCTCTTCCTGCTACAATAGTTTCTCCATACAACAACAACAACAACAAAGCCTTAATCCCACAATATGGGATCGGCTACATGAATCTATTTAATGTCATATTTTCATTTAATTCTAATAAATTAAGATCATTTTTTTACAATAGTTTCTCCATATTAAAATTAAAAGCTTAAGCCCTCCCTCCTCTCTCTTTTATTTGCTTGTAGTTGTTGGGTGCTTCAGCATAATGAAATCATCTCCTTATATAATGCTTAGAAATGATTGATAACAAACTTGAATTTACACTAGGTAGATTATGGCAAGTAATCTATAATGTTGGAAGATGATTGGTAATAGATTTATAGAAGCTAAGGATAGTTAGGTAAAAGTTTCTTCTACAAGCCAAGTAATCTTCATATCTTAATAATCTCCCAATGAAATATAATTTTTTATGTATATAATTAGCGGCCGGTGCCTAAATACTTCTCAATACAAAACATTCGTATCATTATTCATAAAGTTTACCTAAGACTTTACAAAGCAACAAATGAATAAGACTTTTATAGTTACAATAAAATCTTCTTATGATTGGTTTAATTCTTCTTGAAAACATTTGAGCTAGATTATCTCCATGGCTTCAATGACAGCTATATATTTAGCTTATGTTATTGATAATATAACTATATTGACACACAATTGATGGGGGTACCTCCTTAGAAGAAGATTTACCGTACATTGTAGTATTTTTTTCATGTACCTGTGTCAGCTCCCCACTTTGCATCAAAATATTCTTTATACTTTTAGGGTTCAGTGAATAATTAATTGTACTTCTCATGTACCTTATGATCCACTACACAGCCTCCCAATGTTTCTGTCATAGATTGGACACATAAATACTAATAAATAGCTCCCACAATATGTGCAATAGTTGGCATTGTGTAAACTATTGCATGCATCAAAAAGCCAACTATTAATGCGGAAGGAATTCCCCACCCCGCCCACACTTAACAATGAAGCATTTATCAACTTAACAATGATTGCCACTTTCCAGAATAACAATGATCAAACAAAGCATAGTGTAAAATATTATTATCAAAACATCACCGCGAGTATGCTAAAGGTCCAAACTGTCTATATAAGTATTTGTTAATCAACCCAAAGACAACTACAATAATGAAGACATGACTGCATTAAAGCTAATGCCATGCCAAGCCAGCCTCCATGAAGCAATGCTATGACGATAAACTTTGGCGGAAGTAAACTACTATAAGATCAAAAGTTTAAAGAAAAAACCATAATAAAAGTGAGGATAATACTTACTGGATTTCCGTATGTTCGAGTACCAGGCCTAAAACTTGGACGCTCATTTTCATATCTATCATAACCACCGGATGACCAGCTAGGACCTGATTGCAGAGAAGCAAGCTGTACTAACCGGGGGTCATAGCCCATGGTCTGGGTTAGAAAGTTGATGTTGTCTGTGGATGGTCTAATAGAGCCATCCAGTGGATGATAACCCTGTAAATATACTGATGGCACCATAACAGGAAGATAATACGAATACAGTCCATAATTTAGGGTGTTCTGGCAGAGCCTTCCGTATTGTAAGCTTTGCAAATGGCTAGAAAAATCACCATCGAGCACTTCAGACGACTCTACAGATGCAGCTCTTGTGGTACTTAAATCCACAGAATTCAAGTGACCCTCAGACTGATTATAATTCTTTGCAATATCAATGTCCTGATATGATCGAGATCCACAATTTTGTTCTCCACCATCTTCATCAAACTGGTTTATTGAACCGACAGAATTCACCCCATCAGCTGGAACAGCTGGAAAATTGTACGCAGAACGCTCGGTTGAGAATGGATCTAGTGGACCTACAGGATCAACGGCAAGAGAAACACTTAAATTATCTACCACCATCTGCAGTGAACTCCCAACAACCACAGGCTTTGTTAAAGTCGAGGTATCCACCACACTTATTTGTGCAGCTTCATATCCAGGTACTTGGTTCCTGACATGTGGGGAAGCCAAAGGAGAAGCATGATCTTCAAAATAAGAATGTGCAACTGATAAAGGAGAAAAAAAATCTCCACTTTCATCACCTTCCGGAGACGATGAGATGTGCTCCAAAGCATCAGCAAATTGCTCCCCGTTACTTAGATTACCGGACAATGAAGTGGTAACTTCAGAAAGATGTGGTTTTCTTAACCATTTATCACTTCCTGTTTGGGTAACCCTTAAATCCTCTGAAGTATCTGAGGAATGATTTCTTCTGAAAGAGCCCGACTGTGTTGAGGTAACAAACGTCAAATTTTCATTGCTGTCAGTGACACTGACATCATTTGCTCTACCAGTTTGATACTGGAATGCATCAGGATGATCATCTTTACGTCCGCTACTTTCAGCTGCAACTATATCATTGCCTTGTGTAGCAGATGTACAGGATGCATTTCCTCGTGCAGTAGGGATGCAGTTATACCTAGTTGCAGTAAGGTGCTGCGTTTCACCAGATTGAATCTGCAACCCTTCATTTTCAGTTTCAAATCCACCAATGGACCCAGCATCATCCTCAGGACTAGGCTTGCTGGAATTCTTATTGACAGCAACAGCTTCTTCGGAACTTTTCTGGGCGGAATTAGAAGATGAATCCAAGTTTTGAAAAAACTGCATACCAGATCCTCTGGAAGGGTTCATCAATGTAATGTTGGATGGAGAACTTCCTGTCAACTTTATCTGTGCATAATCAGTTGAAGCTAGAACAGGAGACAAAGAAAGCGGTAAATAAGAAGATGCCGTAATATTTACCAGATCCTGCCCTTTCTGCTGTTGCAACTGCGAAGCCCTGTAATCATAAGCAGGCCCTGCCCTCATAGCTGTAGAACCAGAATCATCTAGATAAGTATTTGAGATTATGGTTGAAACAGTAGCAACTTCAGGGCATTGAAAAGATGATGTTTGCCTAAAAAACTTCGAATCGTCAAAAGAAAATCTTGCACTTTGAACACTGGGAATTTCAGAATCCATGATTATTCCTCTGCTGGTATGCTCAGATATTAGATTCTCATCGTGCATTTTGCTTGTATCTAAATTTCTATTATGCTTTATATGAGATGAGGCGACGGTAACTGTTCTTGTAAGTTCGGGAAAAGACCGCGTCCTTGAAAACCGGAGTTTGCTCTTTCCATTGTTATTAACAGAATGATCAGTACTTGAAATTTCCTGATTCTTCTCAGAAGCATAACCACCTGAAACACGGCCCTGTCCAACCTGATGAACATCACTCACCTTCAGTCCTATGCTGGAATTATCGGAACCCTCGTTTGGGCGATTTACCAAGGGTTGCAAGAAGTGAATACTAGGGATAGGAACATCTGGTCGATTACTGCTTCGATGCCTTTTCCAAGTGTTAATAAAAAACTGATCGACTTCAGCAATCATCTTCTCTTCTGGACAATCAAGTAATTTGGCCAACTTCTTGGCTCCAAATGCAAATGCACTGCGTATTCTGCGGAAGTTTCCTGTAAAGGTATACCAATTGTTCACAATGATACACAGACCATCGAGAGATGAAATCAGAACTAGAAAATCTAATTTAACAAACTCCATAAAATCTTTATTCAGCCAAAGGTTTAGACAAATTTCCATTCTTTATATTGCCATTGCAAAGTATCTTTGTGTCATTTCATGAATACACTGCCCCATTAGAATTTGTCAAGTATGAGAAACTAATGGTTAATGAGCTTGTAAATTCAGTCTCATATAACACAAGGTTTTGTGGGTGTACTATTGAGCTGTAGAGGAAAAACATGGAGATTTAAACACCCTGAATTAAACTGACTACTATGGAGTAATTTAGAGAAAGTCTTAATAAAAATTTTTCAAGATCCAAAGAAGGCTTCTTCTTGGTTTACTGAGCTTCCCTCTTCTTTAAAAAACATGAAGAATAAAAAAACAAGAACCTGTTTAATATAGAGCTGCATAAGTCACAAGCAAAGGACAACTAAAAATGCGCTAAACAAGTAAGACCTCGTTTAGCAGTAATTTTCAAATTATTGCTTTTTCAAAAGTCTTAAAATCATGTACGAAAAACATGCAACAAAAGTGCTATGCGGAGCGCACACCTGATAACATTTGTGATTTGCTAGCATAGCAACCTGCCAACCTCTTCAAGGAAAGCAATGAATTTCAAACATGGGTGATATGCTTGCAGAGCAACTTGTCCACCTCTTTTAAAGGTAGCAGTGATTATCTCACACAAAACAACACAACAAAACATAGCTAAATGAAGCCCAGTGATGCAAAAATAAATTTTACAACATCCAAACTGTTGTTTCTTCGTGTTTACCTCCGTTCAGTTTAGTTTATGATCGATTTGGCTAGGCATTTATAGTCTATGGTCGGTTCAACGTGGTTTGGCTCCAAAACATAGTTGATTTGGGACCAAAACAAGCTATGGCCAAAAATTAGGGAGCATAAACAATAGTTAATTTAAGAACTAAAAGACCCCACATAATAAAACAAAATATAACGTGAAGCATAAAGCCAAAATTAGGGAGCAATTGACAAGTACTTCTAACATATGTGTTACCAGAGTTAACCCTAATCACAAATAAAATGCAAATATTATTGCTAAAACTCAATAGGAGTTACAAACAAGTACTCTTGATAATAGAAAAATCACATAATAGAAAACTAACGGCACAAACATGCAAGACACCCTAGGGTGATGGCAAAGGTGGTGGATGGTAGGGGTTGGTTGTAGGCTGGGGCACAACAGGAGGCTGGAATGGCGTGGTGGCAGCACTGGAAGTAAGGACCGAGGAGGTAGCAACAACCGGTAGGCAGAGGGGAGGGTGGCGGCAACTGGCTGGGAGGCTTGAGAGCTGGTGGCAGCAGGCTGGGAAGGAGGAAAGGTATTACAACAGCAGGTGGGGGTTTTCTATGGATTGAAGCAGCCAGAAGGATAAATAGGGCTGGCGGTAGAAAAAATAGGGGAAGGGAAGATGCGCGGGTGGAAGAGCAGCGAGCGGCTAGTTGAGGAGGATGGGGAAGTCGGGGATAATCACCAACTCGGAGAGAGAAACAGTTGAAGCACCATTCATCCTCAGAAGCAACCCAAGAAGGGAAAAGGGGGATGTTGGAGGCTGTCCTGACAAATAACTTAATAAGAAATTGAAATCTAATGACAATAACATAATATATATAGTAGAAAACTAAAAAGGGAGAGGACCATTCCCTTGCCCAACAACCCTGACACATAAATATGGACGGCCGGCCCTGCTCCCCCATTAGTTGAACCGGTTCGGGAGGTTCAACCATTTAGCCCCCTGAGGAGGCCCGCATCAGTCTCCAGGTGTTGGGGTGATAGTTAATTCTTCGAAGCTTTTGTTTGCACGTTGCAGGTGATGGAGCTGTTGTAACCTCCTGGGGTTGAAGGCTCTACTACCGCGGTACACGAAGCACCTAGATCCCACTAGCGATTGTACCGTCCCCCAACGCATCTGAGGATCTTTCCCCGTTCACGAGCAAACATCCACATTGGTCCAATCTTCTGGGAGTCCCCTACTGAACTGAGCTAGGCCCGTGTGTTATGTGAATATTGTTCAATCCTCTCAAAGTAATCCAAGGTCACTCAACTTGATCTAAAGAGAGGGTAACCAGAACCTCCCCGAAAGGTGGTAGCCATGGTGGTATGGTTTCGATCGTGATATCTTGAAATGCTCTCTATCGTGATTGTCCCATGTCTGGAGCAAGTGTCTCAAACCTATCATCTTTCCTTGTCACCAAAACTGCTCCCACTTATGTTGCTCTGTTGGCAAGAGCACTTGTGATCTCGGGCTCCGACAAAGAGATAAGGACTATGCACTTCCCATCATTGGTGAAAGAGTAGATGTTTTTGAATCCGTCATACTAAGTTCTACGGTTAAACTACCACAGTCTGCCCAACATGTAGCAGGTATTAATGGGTAATACGTCACACCGCACGTGATCCTATAGCTGGCTCCCGATCGAAAACTCCACTTATGCACATCCGGTCAATATTGACCTTGCTCTTCTTCAGCTACGTCAAAGAATATGGTTTGGAGTGCCTCTGAATCATGAGACCCAACTTCCCCACTATATGTGCAGATCTCATGTTCTTATTATTCCATCCATAATGAGACTTCATACATTTACATTCATGATGCAACGAGTAGAATATATTATGACAAAACCACTACAAATCCCTCGCATTCTCAGTCTATAGGACTGAGCAAACCACGAGCTCCTCTCCATCATCCAGAGAAAGATGATACATCTCACCCTATTCCCCTGCGGTCTCCTCGTAGCTAAACTCCTCTACGGCGCTCTACTCAGTGAAAGATACAACTCGGCTTGTCGAGCAGTTGGAGGCGATGTGCCCAACTCTGTGACATACAAAGTATTTTTTGGCATGAACTGTAGTAGGCGTGCTACTCTTCTCAAGCTTCTTCTCACTGGGGGTGGCTCTATCCTTATCTGAACCAATTTTCTCAACTTCCTAAGGTGTGCTCCAGTTGGCGTCTCCAACAGTGGGTGGTTGTCTGACTGGTGGTTGTTTTCTGCTCCTGCTTCTACTGTCTTTCCACTTTCAATACTTAGGTTTTGATATTTTCAAAAGAACAATAAGGCTGCAGCCACACCACTTTGCTAATAGAGGGCTTCAAGCCTCCCAGATAACGAGCTATGATATGTTCCTCTAGCTAGACCAAATCATACCATCTCTACGTGGTCAAACTGTATCGTAAACTCCTCCATTGATAAGTCTCTCTGTTGCAGGTGGAATCTTTGAAACATATCCTGATGGTAGTGAGAAGGTGGGTATTTCCTCTACATCGTCTTCTGCATCTTCTCCCACTTTGTAATCTTATCATTTTCTTCTCTCTGCCTCTGCCTCTGCAAGTTGTCTCACCACAAGAAGGCGCTCTTTTTCAATTTGATAGTTGCAAGATTCACCCTTTCATCTTATGACATCAATTTGTACTTGAAGATCCTCTAAAATGATTGAAGCGTTCAATAAAGTCGTTTGGATTCATAACTCCATCGAACACTCATAAATCTATCTTTATTTCGCAATCCCTGTGTCCTCCATAGAGGGCCTCCTCTCTCGGCCTCCTTTGAAACTGGATTCTAAAATGTCGTGACATTTCTTCTTCATCACTGAAATCCTCCCTATAAAAGGGGTTGAAATTCTCGTCTCTTTCGCCGTTTTGATTTTCCCGGTCACGATTGAGAGTAATATCCCCCTGGATTTCATCTTCAATGTCTGCAAATCTCCATTTAAGTCGACAGATCTCTCGATATATCTTTCACCAGGTAGGCTCGGACATACATCACCTTAACGACATGAATAGGTTTTAGAGTTGGGAGGTGAAAGAAGGTGAAAATTTTGATTTAGGGTTGTTGATTTTATAAATCAGCAAGAAGAATTTAGGGTTAGGTCAAAGTTTGGCTACGATTTGGAAATAAGAAAGAAAATTATTGGTGGGGGTAAAGCAGATGCCGGGAAACCCTAAGTTAAGACTAGGGTTAGACTAGTTTTAATACCAAATAATACTATAGTTAATTCAAACCACAATAAATTACAAATATTACTTTTGAAACTCAATAGGGGTTACAAACACCCTTAATAATAGAAAAATAAAAACACAAACATAAAAAACGCCCTAGGGCGATGGTGGATGGTGGTTGGACAGCAGGTAGAGGGGTTGATTGGAGTTTGTGGGTAGGGTTGTCAAAACAGTGTGTGTTCGGCTACTTAAGAAACTCGTGTTCGATTCATTAGTTAAATTAACGAGCCGACCGCAAATATTTATTTTGTGCTCGATATGTATACGGGCAGAACACGAACAAAGATTTGTTTGTTCGTGTTCGACACATTTTGGACCATTTTTTTTAATATATATATATATATATATATTGATGAATAGTATTTTTAAAAAATTTAATTGACTATAAAGCTACAAAGATTTATAATCAATTAAAATTATTAATTAAAAACTAGAAAAAAAAATTATTAAATTATATTTAAATGATGTTTTCATATTAGGGTTGTCAAAACGACTCTTTGTCCGCGAGCAGCTGGTGTTCAACTTGCTAAGTAAACGAGCTGAACACGAATATACTTTTTTTGTTCGCAATATAAACGAACCGAATACGAACTGTGATATTTTTTCGTTTACACCCCTAATTGTGGGCACAGCAGAAGGCTGGAATGGCACTGGAAAGCAAGAATGAGGGGGCGGCAGTAGTAGGTGGGCATGGTGAAGGTGGCGGTAGTTGGCTGGGAGGCTAGCAGGGAGGAAAGGTATTACAGCAGTAGTGAGGGTGTTGTATGGGTTGCGACGGCAGCAAGAAGGGGGTTTAAGGCTGGTGGTAGGGAAAATAGGGGAAGGGAAGGTGCACAGGTGGAAGAGTAGCGAGCTGTCGTTTGCAGGATAATCACTACCTTGGAGCGAGATACAGTCGGGCACCACTTGTCCTCGGATACAAACCTAGA